TGCAAAGTTTGAATGACAATTATATTAGATAAAAAAAAATCATAAAAGAAAGGAAATAAAAAACTTTTATTTATCACCTTGCAAACACAAGAATGTTTATACAACTTTTTATTCCAATAAAAAAAAATTTACTGAACTTTCTATTTAATAATAAAAAATAAATTTAATTATATAAAAAAGTTTATTTTACCTTTACTTTATTTTATGATATTTTTTGTTATTTTTAATTTTTTTTATTGTAATAACTGATTTTTTTGATTTAAAAACACTCATACTTTAAGCTTGAAGCAAAGATTATTTTTTAATTTAATTCTGATAAAAAAATATCCGATTTAATTTAAAACAAATTTAATAAAAATATATAATTTTCTTCTGATAAAAAAAATATACAATTTAATTTTGATTTAAAAATATATAATTTAATTAGGAAAATACAAATGATGCTAATAATGATATATATGAAGATGAAGAAAATAATTAGTTGGATGAGGATGATGATTTTGATGATAGAAAAAAGGAATTAAAACCAATAAACATAAATGAAATAAGAAATTTAAATGAGCACAATGACATAATCAAATTATCTGAAAATGAAAATACTGATTTGCCATTTTATTACTATGCTGACTTTGAATTTACCCACTAAAATTTTATTTATATTATTTTTAACTTTTGATTTGAATGAAGTTATTATGTGAACTAATTTGTAAAATAGAAATAAACTTTTACCCTTGAGCTACAAAAAGTAAATTTACAGGTTTAAATATTTATTTAAATAACAATATAAAATATAGTTAGTCTAATTCACCAAAAGTGTTAGTGACTAACAGTTTAATTATTTTTTAATATTTACAGTATATGCAAGTGGCTAACTTCAATTTTCTTATAATTTACCTTATTCTACGTTAATCTACATTAATTTTTTATGCTTAAGGCTTTTTAAAGTTTTTAACGTTGCAATTTTTTAATCAAAATTGCTGCAACTATCAACTAATTAGTCTTCAATATCAAATTTCCAAACAAATAAATTTTTTAACGCCACAATGCATTGTAAAGTAAGAATTAAATTAGTCTAAAATCTTTAAAGTTCAAAATTGATTTAAAGTCTAAGTTATAGCTAGTAGCAGCTGATTTTATTTAATAGTATTAAACAACCTTTATACTTCCCAAATATCATTACTACCAATTTTAAGAGAGCGCCATTTGGTTGGAATCGAATACTCAAATATTTTATTTTTATGTAATTATAGTGAAATGATTTTCTTCTTTTTTCCTTTTTTGAAAACAATAGAACAAAAAAAAATTATTTAAATAATAATGGTTCAATGTGTTTAACAAAAACAAAAAAAAATAAAAAAATATATTGCTTAAACAAATATCTTAACTTTAAATTGATTTTTTTATAAAGGCAAAAAAAGTCGTTGATTTTGAACTAAAAAATATATCATAAAGGATACATGGTAGCTATTTATTTTTGAACAATATCTGCCATTTAGTAAATGCAAAAATCAGAAAACTAAATAATCTTTGAGTGGCATTAAGAAAAAGAAAGATGAGGAAATTTAGAAAAACACCTTTAAAATACCAACAATTCCAAGACATGAATAAATTAAATACAAATATATAACTAAAACATATATTTTTTATAATCACCAAGTTAATATGTTTATTTAAAATAAAACAGTCCAAATCTTTTTTTATTAAAAAAAGTTACATAAATTTTGAGGGTAAGTATTTTTGAAAAAAAAAAATTTGCAAAAATTTTTAAAGCCATTATGAATGGTTCTAGCAAGCTTGCCTTCATATATAGTAATTAAATGGATACATTTTTGAGTAGAGTAAAGGACCAATGTTTCAATATTAAAATAAAATAAAAGTTTAGAAGATTAGAAATGTATGTTTCAATTTTAATCAAAAATAACTAATCAAAAATTTTCTTGATTTTGATTCTTTGCTGATCATTTAGGAATATATTAAAAGAATTTTATTTTGTCCAAAAGGTCTTTCAAACATAAAAAACTTAAGGCCATTGCAGGATTCCTGCATAGCATCTGGGGCCAGTACGCCACTGCGCTTGGGGTGGTATGAGAAACTGATATAAGTTTGTTGATATTTTTTATCTGCAAGGTTCAAATATTGCATTTGCAAAATATGAGTCATGCATCTGTCTCCTGAGTAGCAGTAGTACAATAAAACCTTGTGGTTTTTTTGAGTTTATCACATACCAGAGAATATGCAGATTTAATGTCTTTAACTTGCTGGTTAGTTATACTAGTAGTCATCCTCACAGTTCTTTCTTTAGTAAACTTCTTGGTGACAGCAAACTTATTTCAAAAACCTGGAAAAATCAGTGGAATAATTCATGCCAGATACCCAACATTTTTATGCCAAAATAAATAAAAGAAATAAGGTAAATAAAAACTCCTTCAATCAACTTTAAAAGCATATACAAATAAACTTTAAAGACAAGCATTTCTAGATTATACTATAGGTACGAAAAGTAAACACATTAATATTAAAATAAACTTTGCTCGACCTGATGAACAAGAAATATTTGTCTAATAAGGTTGTATTTTGTATCAAAATTGCTTTCAACCTTATTTTATAAATGCTTATTTTATAAAAACTTTTACCCAAGAAAATAAAAATTAGATAATGCGATCGCATCAAATAATATACTTTCAAGATTGCTAAATGGCTTCGGCCAATTGCAATTTGTGAATCCTAATAACTTAATTTGTCCCTTGCTGTAGTAACTGATTTGAGTTTGTTGATATTTTTTATAGGTAAAAATTCAAATACTTATTTGCAAAATATTTTGAGTATGTCTTGAGTGTGTCTCCTGAGTAGCAGCAGCTCAATCAAAACTTGTTGTGGTTCTAATAAGTTTGTTACATACCAGAAAATATCCTGGTTTTACATCTTCAATTTGCTTGTTAGTAAGATTAGTAGCTTCCCTCACAGTTTTTTAAATGATTTCACTTTTGTTTTAAAAATCACTCAAAATATGCTGAGATATATGTTAATAAAGCATTCATTCAAGTATTCTCCATTTTAAAAGGTTTTTTACAATGCGCAGTTTCTTTGCACAATTACTTTTAAATCTACTCATGTTTAAATTTTCTATTTTCATTTTCAATCAATCTCTTTTTTACTATTGTTTTTAACATATCGATGTTTAAATATATATATTTTTTTTATTAAACATAAAAACTCTCTGAACTTTTTAAGTATTAATTCATACTTATTTTGTATTTCCATAAAGTTTTTAAAATCTGTGTTCCTGTTTATTTTTATTCTAAAATATTGCTTTGTACCAAATAAATAAAAACAAATTTAATTAAAAAATATTAATTTAATCAAATATCAATTAAAAATATTTTCAAGAAGCCTTTATTGTTTATAAAAACTAAAATTTTTTGTGAGCATTTTTAAATACACTTATTTTTTAAAAATATTATCCTAGAGCTACATGATGAAACTATATCACCTCCAAGAGACATAAAGTTCAAGGAGGGGAAAGTGAGTTGCAAATCACATGTTCCTGACTCCTGCTATAACAAAAGTGTTAATGTTTCCATTAACTTTTTATAAAAATAAAGCACTTAATTACAGACTAAACTTTGCCATTAATTTAGAGATGGGTGTGGTCATTGATTTTGGGGGTTTTTCAGGGGCTGGGGAACCAGCACATCAATATATTTTGAGTACCCAAATAAACCAGGGATAATCTATGCCAGATACCCAGCTCTTTTATATTCCAGGTAACTGGGAAAAAATGCTGGGTACTTGTCATCTCTCTATTCTGGGAGTTTTTCAGAGTATCCAGAATAAATAATCTGACAGTCTTTTAAGATATTTGGAACATATAGATTGTGCCCATTATATAGATTACGCCTGACTATGAATTAACTGCCAGAAAACCAGGACAGCCCTGGGTAACCAAAACATCTTTACATCATTTCCACATAAAACTATTGAATTAATTTTTTATATATATTGCTATGGATTACCTAATTACAAAGAGTTTATTGTATAAAAATCATTATGAATTAGGTAAACATTATACACTGCCAAACCAATTGGTCAGAAATGTTAGACATAATTATGAAAAAAGAACTCAGAAAAATTGTCATATTTGGAGTTTTATTAAAAAAGCGTTTGATAAAATAACACATGCCAGATAAAGAAAAAAGATAAAACCATAAAGTATTAATGATAATATGTTAAAATATTAAACATTATAAAAACACCTCAAAATCCTATAAAACAGCAAACAGATCTAAATTATTGAATGGTCATTAGCTTGGCTAATAAAAATTAATTATACTAAATTTAAAATCATGAATTTAGGCAAAAACAAATTCAAGAACTACTTATGGAATGTATGATTTTGATGTAAAATTTACATTTTGATAGAAAGTGACGTTTATAACTAATTGTGAACAAGATGATAGTGTTATGATTCAATCAAATCAATTGAAACATTTTAAACATTTCAAATCAATTGAAACATTTTAAACATTTCAAAAAAATTTTGTATTCAATGCACTTGGTTTAATTTAAAAAACTTTTAGTCCAAAAAGTTTTAGTTCGCTTTACTTTATTTTTATTATGCTACTTTATTCTCAATTTCTTATTTTTCTTATTTATTATCTTATTTCTATGAAATTGATTTTTCTTATATTATCTTATTTCTCATTTATACTCAAACACTGCATTGAGTTAGAATAAAGTAAAAAAAACTCTGCACTGAGCGAAAACATTTATTATTGATACCAATTAATTTTTTAGTTAAAAAGTTGTGCATGAAGACACTATAGCTGTAAACTCCTATTATCATAAATTTAAAATATAAAACATTTTGGTAACTCTTTAATTAACCAAGATGTTTTAGTCCACTCATAATTATTTAATAACTATTTATTATAGCTCTTGTTTTTTATTATGTAAATCTGTTTATAATAAATTGGTTATAATCTGTTTATAATAAATTTTACCTGAAACCATTCTGATAACCCAAAAAACTTTGGACACCAACACTGTTTATTATTTAATCTTCCCATATGTGGTCTGTAATTATCATTTATTAATTTTTGATCATTACCACTCCATATTGATGAAGCTGTAAGTTGGCTAGCATTTATATATCCATTTCTCATTCCAAGAGGGGTTCGATATGTACAATCTTAACAACAGTAAACATAAAAACAAGACTTGAACTAAATTTAGTCTTTTTTTTGACTGGTTAAATAATAAATACATACTCTCAAAAAATGGGCAATATAATATTGTTTTTTATTAAGATCAAAGAAAATGCTAAAAAGACATATTTGTTCCAGTAGATTTTTAGGACCAAAAAGACCTAACAATCTGTTCACAGAGCACTGCAGAAAAACTTTTTTTGTACCAATGTCGCTTATTGGGCTAAAAGCAGCATCATAATTGAATATCTTGGTTCTGAGTCAGAACTCTAACTACTGCGCCACGGCTATTAAAATTTTTAAGCTTTTAATATGAAAACAATTGATATTTAAATATATTGTAATTAGCATACAAATTATAATTCAAATAATAAAATTGAATAATGCAAATACTAAAAATATTATAAGAAAATAATAAAACAATAAAATTGATATAAGAAAATATGTTAACACAAAATACAATTTTCTCATCTGATTTCCTAAACTTCAGGCAAAACTCAATTTTTTTTTTCTTACTTTCCGAACTTCTCACAAAAAAGTTGGACCTCGAATTGACTAACTTTTTATTTACATTTTATAATTTCTATTATAACAAAAACTTTCAAGTAATAGAACTACAAACACTTTTTACTTCTTGACAGTTATAAAAATGGTTTTGACAAACTTTAATAAAGATTTAAATTGGAATTTACATCAATTAACTTCTTATAAAAAGGAACTCAAACTTTCAAAATGAATAATTTGAATAAATTCAGGGTGTTGGCCAGCTGATGGCACAGCATTTAATGCGGAATTCCAAATTAGTTTAAAATTAGTTTAAGAGCCAGTGTCTGAGAAATATAGGCAAAATCTGGAAGTGATTTCTTCAAAATGTCTTCATTTTCAGATATTTTATAAAAAACAATGAAAGTAGACCACTGGTCAAAAATTCCTACTCGTTTTAGAGATATTGGGTCCCAAAATTTGGCCCATTTTGTCAAAATATTTGCGCAAGGAGTGCAATTGCTACTTTGTGGGGCAAATTCAGCAACATGAATATGACAGACACATTTCTTTTTAATTTTCTGCTAATCTGGGTAGATTTCTACAGTAAAAGTAAAATTTCAACATGGTTACATTTTTAGTTGTCTTGAAATCATGGTCCGAAACCAATATGATATTTTACCCTAACTTTGAGCTCTAATATTTCTTAAGACCATTACTTGCATGTAGTTTTTTTAGGTGTTTTTGAAAGGCACGAAGGCATACATTAATTATATGGAACAAAATTTATTAGCATGCAAAGACCTGGGAAGGAGTAACCTGCCAAAAATCACTTTTTGCATTCAATGCGCCTTGAGAAATTACCCATAACAACCATGGCGTTAGGTTTGCCATAAACAGTATAAGTTATTTAATTTCCTTTAACATGCATCTTCCAATACCTGAAAAGAAATCCATGTGCGCGGATGATTAAAGGCCTACAGAAGTTCTAGATGTAGCCTTATTTTGCCAAGTTTTTATAAAAAAAATACCCTAGCAACGGTATAGATATGCTTAGCAACAGCTACTTTATAGCTTTAATAATTAGTACAGTAATTAAAAATTTTGGTGTAATACATTTTTATAATGGAACTGTACATAAGCACTTGAAAAAAATTACATTGTAAGCATTTTTAATGTAGCAAAGTACTTAACAAAGGTTGAGTTGATGCAATGGCAACAGACTTGTTAAATGTTAATTTGTACTCAATGTTTTTTCTTATGTAACGCAGTAAAAACTTCTAAATGTCATGATTGATATCTTATGTCGAATTTTAATCCGAGTTCTAATTTTAGAACACTCTTTTTTTTAACAGTGGCAGGTTTTAGGGGGGTGCTACAAGGGTAGTAGACCCCTGGCCCCCAACAATACCCACCCACCCCTTGGGACTTTTTTTCAGAAATATTCTTTTGTAAATGTACTATTTAACAACATATTATGCTGACAAATGAAATTGACTATTATATGTAATTATACGTATATGAATTTGATTACTACACTAAAGTACAAAAAATTAAAAAAAAAAATTTTATACTTTAGTGTAGTAATCAAATTAAAAAATTTTTTTTTTTTTAATTTTTTTAGCCCCTTTCTTGGAGAGTGACAAAACCTGCCCCTATTTTCTAAATACCTTGTTGTATGAAGTTTCGTTTTATATTCGTTTCGAAATTGGTATTTGCAGCTAAATTTTACATTGAAATTTTATAAGTACTCACTGAGAAACAATGATTAGCTAAATATACCATTTTGTAGATCAAAGTTTAATAAATATTTTAAAAATTTGTTTTTAAAAATAAATTAAAAGGTTTTATTCATGCTATGGATAACATTTTAAGTTACTATTATTTTGAAATAAACCTTGATTTATGAGATTTATGTTAATAGATTTGTTTTCTTTGATAGATAACAGAACGTTAAGAAGAAATTTTAAAAATTTAAAATGTAGCTTGAGAAGATATTATCATGCTGAAGCAATTGCACCTGGTCAATCAGAGGCACTGATTTCTTAAGTGGTACACAATGAGGATTAGATGGTTTAGCTTAACTAGTTCCAGAAGACCTTGTTGTACCAGTTAAGATGTTTCAAGAAAGTGATTCTTTAGGACAAGTTATTAATCATGACAATTACACTAAAGAAACATTAATTAAAATCTTTGATTTCATAAAACTTCAAATAGAAAAAGCATGCAAGTTGCAAAAAGAAAGCAGAGGATTTTCCATACTAAAAAAAGAAAAGGTCAACATATGCCGAATTCCACAGGAAAAAATAGAATATTTTTTGAAACTTATGTTTTGTCAAGGTTTGCTGCAAAAAGTAGCTTATGGTGTAAATAAAATAAAGTTTGACAATGGAGAAGAACAAAAAGTGGCTAATATAATTTTAATGATGAGGTTTAGCCATACAATCACATTTTATAAAGAAATTTGCCAAGAAACTAATTATCTCACTATGTCAGATTTCTTTTGCTCTTTTAGATATAGATCCAGACTTGAAACAACCTTAAATTATAGCTGCTGATGATGAACAATACATTAACTGTGTTAACCTCGTTTTAGTAATAAACTAGGTTCGTAGTTGATTGCTGAAATGAGGTTAGCACAGTCCAGATAAATGGTCAATTAGGAAAAAAAGTATTTTTCCCTGCTGTCTATAGATGGCAGCAAAGCCTTGTTGATGTACTCTGTCTTGCTGATATTGTTTTGGCCAAAGTTAGAAATGATTTCCTTTGTTTAAAAAACCCTTATGCTAAGTCAGATAACGCATCATCTCATCATGGCAGCTTCTACTTAGAAGCCATTTACAAAGTTTACAAAGCAAAGCAATTCTCTCTTAAAAGCTATGATTACAATAAGCCATCACTTGGAAAAGATCAATGTGACAGAAAGTCAGCAGGAGCGAAATGTGTCATAAAGAGTTTTGTTGATGCTGGAAAAAAATTTTGACTGGAGAAGATACTCATGAGGCTCTTCATAATGGCAAACAAATTCAAAATTCTTATGTTGCTAAAGTTCCAATAGACTCCAAAGCTTCTACTTTATCAGGACCAAATCTGATTTCCAACATAAACAATCATCATTCTTTTCAGTTTTTCTCTGATCACATGGCAATGTGGAGATTTAAATTGTTAAAAGTAAAAAATAGAACTATACTAATGTGACATTCCATTTTTCAAATTGTTAGATCCTATAGTTCAAATTGCAACTCAATAAGCTCGATCATTATTCATATTTGTGTATTGAGATCTATTGCATTGAAATACAAAATTATTGGTTTATTAACCATATTAATTAATTTCAAGGAATATTTAGAAAGCAGCAATGAATAGACTTTACTTTGTCTTTACCTCAAAAATTAGGTCAATGATGATGACATTTATGTTTTTTTTATGGAATATTCTGCTGTACCTGGAAAGAACTGCTTCAAGTGGCTAACTAAAGAAAATATATTCCAATATTCATCTCTTGATGTTGTTAGAGGATTGACCATTAATAAAATTCTTAAAATTTTTTGCTTGTTTATAATTCTTAGAAAACTGTATTTCCATCAATTTTTAAATGGAAAAAACGTTGATTTAAAGTTTATTGGTTCTTTCTTTCATTGATAAAGTCAAAAAACTAGATTTTATCAAGTGCAGTTTTAACATTTGGAAGTTTTTACTGCATTACATAAGAAAAAACATTAATGAGTGCAAATTAACAAGTCTGTTGCCATTGCATCACTTCAACCTTTGTTGAAAAACAAAGGTTGAAGTGATGCTTTACAAAGCTTACAATGCAATTTTTGTCAAGTACTCTTGTACAGTTTTGTTATAAAAATGTATTACCCTAAAATTTTTAATTACTGTACTAATTATTAAAGCTATAAAGTAGCTGTTGCTAAGCATATCTATACCGTTGCTAGGGTATTTTTTTGATAAAAACTTGGCAAAATAAGGCTACTTCTAGAACTTCTGTAGGCCTTTAATCATCCGCGCACATGGATTTCTTTTCAGATATTAGAAGATGCATGTTAAAGGAAATTAAATAACTTATACTGTTTATGGCAAACCTAACGCCACGGTTGTTATGGGTAATTTCTCAAGACCCGTTGAATGCAAAAAGTGATTTTTGGCAGGTTACTCATTCCCAGGTCTTTGCATGCTCATAAATTTTGTTCCATATAATCAATGTATGCTTTCCAAAAACACCTAAAAAAACTATATACAAGTAATGGCCTTAAGAAATATTAGAGCTCAAAGTTAACATAAAATTTCATATTTAGTGGTTTTGGACCATGATTTCTAGACAACTAAAAATGTAACCATGTTGAATTTTTACTTTTACTGTAGAAATCTACCCAGATTAACAGAAAAATTAAAAAGAAATGTGTCTGTCATATTCAATTGCACTCCTTGCGCAAATATTTTCACAAAATGGGCCAAATTTTGGGACCCAATATCTCTAAAACGAGTAGGAATTTTT